CCACAAAAAGGTGCAGGAGCTATTTTCGGGCGGCTGCCGCACGGTAACTTCAATCGCCCAGGTCTGACATCTTATATTGTGTGCATGTGACATTTTTGCATTTATTTGTGCATTTTGAAATGTTCATGGGCTTTTATGTGAACTGTTTGCAGACACACAGTTTTGATGATCTATATGGTGTGAATTCTGGCACGCTCTGGTCTCCTTCATTGTTCAGTCGTCATATATAATGCCATGCAGTCTTGCCGCGTGTCGGGTCTATTCATTCTCACTTGGCTGGCAGCTCTGTCTTTATTATCCTGACATTTAGACAATGTCTAGGAATGAGCTTTTGGAGTTATTTAATGTATGCACCGTTATAACCACCTGTGCAGTTAAGTATCTGAGATTAAGCCGTCGAATGATGCCTGAACCCAGACAAAATTGATGACTTTAGCAGTTTCTCTACCATTTCCGGCATTAAAATGTTCTGCAGTACTTTATATCGGCCCTATTGTCTAGTAACAGTCGTGGCTAAAATAACATGTTAGAAAAGGAAGTGCCAATTGAAAAGCGGTTGGTTGGCAATACTGTGATAATTCAGCTACTAGACAGACAAAAGGTATGATGTTGGTGATTTGTAGTTAATTTTATATGAGCAATTTTAACAATAAAAGGTCTTTCTCGGACTGCTGAACATGAAATATTCAAGGGTTTGTGATCATAAGATTTACCGAAAATTGCTGAGAGTAAACCCAGTTATTCAGGAGAAAGCCTTGTGAGGTAGATTGACTCATTCACTACAGCAATTCATTCATGTATTTCAAAGGAACCTGCAGGTTTTCATACAAAAATGTTTTACGCCCTCATCAGGGACTGCAAAACAGCGGTTTGTTGGCAAATGCCACCTGTGGTGGAACTGCAGGAGGGATATGCAGGAGGAGAGTTGCCGTAAGAGAAATACAGGGCTGCCATTGCTGAACACCTCCTAGACCTAGTTTACTCATTTTGTCATGCTGATCCCCTCTAGATAGGCAGAGCCAGCTGTCACTTACACATCTGGGTGGATCTCGACAGCATTGTCGGGATCCGTCCCAGCTGCGGCGGTCTCAGTATACTGCGAGCTGTAACTCACTATATAATGAGCTTTGGGTCACGGTAGGTTGTCCTCCTGTTACCCTTAAGAGAACTATGGGGAAAAACACTTACCCCATAGTTCTCCTTTTAAGTGTTAAAAATGTATTACAATTAACATAAATGTATTTTATTTGTGTATCACTCGGCTGTAGATCCTCAGATCATCTCTTAATTGGTTCTGACACTTCCTTCTGGGGGGTGGCTACTTTTGTTCCCCATGGTCTATGTGTATATTGTAAAGCAGCCACGGCTCCAAGCTCACTTCTGTAATAGACTACAATCCCAATTTAAATTCGTAAACTAAACAGGAGACTGTAGTCCATACCAGGAGTGAGATTGGAGTGATGACTACTTTACAACACACACATAGACCATGAGGAACAAAAGTAGCCACCCTCCAGAAGGAATGACAGTGTCGGCACCAATTTAGAGATGATTTGAGAATCTATAGCTAAAGCTAGGCTCAAATATCGGCAAACACGGGACGAGCTTAATTTCAATGGGGTTATATTCGCGCGGCAATCGCTGAAAAAGGTACATGTACCTCCTTTTGCGACACACACCACACGGTTTTTTGAACCGCGATCGTGAGCGAAATAATGATAAAGGTTATAGTTGTCTCTAACATGTGTTCTCTGTTTTAATCTTCTGTAAGTCATTCTCTGCATGCAGGAGAGTTACTATGTGCAGAGCTATATCTATATGTTCTGGTTAACTTACAGTGGGCAAACCTAGTTCCATGTAATTGGGTTTTAAAGAGACTTCCTATCTTTCTCTAGCGCTGTACACAATGCTAGATTACCAGCCTTCAAAGGCAAGTAATTATGAGGCTTCCCAGTGCTGCAGCACACAGCCTCATGCACAGCATCAGATGTTCATGAGCATGTATTAATATTTATGTGCCACATTTTCTGCGAGAAGTAAAGGTGTTAATGAGTATTATAAATCAGTGGGTAGCAGCCTCCTCTAGCAGGAAATGGGATTCGTGACAAGGAGTGTTAAAGAGCCCAGCATTGTCTCCTGCCGAGGACTGGTTTAAAAGTAATGGTCATTTTGTCCCCATCTGGGGCTTATTATGTTAAGCAAGGTTTTGCCCAGCTTGCTTGTGATAGACATAAATCAGTGTGATATCTCTCTAGAACTTGCACTTTGTTTGTGCATTTACATCTGCTTCAAGGAGAACTCAACTCTTAAATATTCTTAAATTATTAACCTGGCAAGAGTGCTTTAATAAAGGTAGATGCCCAAAGCAGGGTACCATATGACTCTTAGGAGAGCTTCTCCCCCCCCAGACACTGAGGTCCTCTGACTGGCTGGCAGTGTCAGAAACTGGGACAGTCTGCCGGCTTCATGCATACTCAGTGTACACTGCTGGCATGCTTTTTTTAAAAATACCTCCGCAAAGGTGGACATGGAATTTAAGCTTCTTTGTAGAATGCATGCTTTTGTAAGCCAATCTCCTGTCTTTTCTGTTCCTTTATCGTTTGTGATATTTGATTGTTGCATTTTATATATTCTACAGCTTTGGAGATTAAACATTAAATAGGAATATAAATAAGGAAATAAAGTTTCTCCAGTCTATATCCAAGCTCGTTAAATATGACAAGCGTTTCCGCCAACAAAGTGGCCAGGCTGCAGTGTAGCAGAGTGCTGTTACATACTGTAGAGATGTCATCAGCACAACCCTATATAACTTGTGGCCAATAAAAAGAACCCAGCCATGTAACACTTTCACTGCCATTTTATGCGGCTTTTACGGTGTACAATTGAATTGATAGCACTTCAGCTGGAAACTAAAGAGCAGCATCAAATGTATAATGTATAATGTGTTCATTTGGACTTCTTTAGGGAAACAGATGAGTGGCTAGGATGTCACTTGAACTGCCAGTACATTAAGAGATAGTTTTTATTTTAATATAGTTGTATTTGAGTTTGTTCACTACTATGAAAAATGAAGATGGTTTGATCACGAGAGGGTAGAATGTGGATTTGGAGTCTTTGCAAGTTTAATGGGAGACCATACTGTATTTTCAAGAATAACATTTTGAGTTATTGTTACTTACTGAAACGTAATTTGTATGTTATATTTTACAGATATTTTTACATTATTTTATTTTTCTTCCAGAATATCTAGTTTTTATTTGCAAGTTAGGGGATGTGATTAAAATCCTTTCTTAAAGCAAAGCTGAAGTGGGACATAAATATGTAAACTGTTTTTTGCACTGCAAAACGGGGTAGCTCATGTCTGTTCCTATTCAGTGCCCTGACTTTGGAGATCCTCTGGCAATCATATATCAACCCCGATTCCTGGCTCATGCCTATGCCACACTATTGACCAGTTAGGCTACCCATGACGGTGCTGGGTCAGTAGTGAGGCTTAAGAGAAAGGGAAAGAGCAGGAGTTGGCTCTCCATTCCAACCATCTTTGTCCACAAATGCATACTTGGTGCAGCAGGTGCACTGCATTGAATAACAGACCTGACATAAAGGCCCCTGAAGTGCCTGCTTTGTGGTCCCAGCAACTGTTTAGGACTTTTTGCACCCTGGGTTGGCTTTAAAGTGTATGTAAATCCCAAACAATGAATTTATACATTTTGCTCCCTTTTGGTCTTGTAATTATCTAATTGAAAGCATTTTCTTATATCTGTTCAATTAGTGTAAAATATTTACCTGTTGAACCTGCTTAATTCCTGTACTGAGCTGATAGTGTTTCTGCTGCAAACCATGTTATCAACCCTGCCCAGTTCATGTCTGTGAACTACAAATAACCTCCACCCAATGATATGGACCTGAGGAGAATGGGAGAGGTTCTGTTGTCTAAAGCAGGAGCGAGTGACCTAGGGTGATAATGCAGCTCCTCTGAGTTAGAATGTCACCCTATGATAGAAAGTGTGTCACTGACAGAATCACCAGGGCAAAATATAATAAAGAAAATTCAGAAAAAAAAGAAAACTATTGCAGTCACCACTTCTAAGGACTGATGTGCTCTAGTATATTCCTTTTTTTTTTTTGTTAAGGTGTTTCGATTCACTTTACGGCCTTATTCACACACAACGCAAGAGCAAAATTGTATATTGTGTATATTACGCGTACATGCGTATATGCGCACACTATATGCAATCCCCAAATGTATAATTCGTAATAGAAAGGTTAATTAACTGTACGCGCACAAACATGCGTATATACGCGTAAAATACGCATAAATATGCTGCCCGGACGCATCTCAGTTCCGATCTGTTTTGGCGCATTTTTACACTACGTAAATATACGGCTCCATGCGCAGCTATGTGTATGGAGCCATTTATTGCATATGCTACAATACGCGTGTACACGTATATGCACGGCAGTGTGAATGAGGCCTACTGGCTGTTGAAATGGGTTTATTTTGCTTCATAGAGTTTGTGTTTATGATTTAATTCAGACCTGGTCCATAGACTTGTACTGGGGAAGAGGAACCAGCAAAAGCAGAGGTGTTGTGCATTAACCTTCAAAAAAAGACTGTGGCTTCCCTTTTAGGAGACTAAATCTTCCTGAACTAAAAGCTAAATGAGGAGCTGTATGGTGGTCTGCAAATCAGGATGTCCCCACTATAGTTGTGTGGATTATACACAAATCAGTCTCCAATGCAGTGACGCTGGGGCTTCTGAGTATTTCTGAGGGAAGAATAGATTTTGACAGTCTGTGTTATATTAAATTAGATTCTCACTTTGTAGTATGAGAGAAAACCTGGTTGCTTTGTAAAACCGTCTGAAACAATTGTTCTCTTAGATACTTTGATAGACAAGGCCCTCGTTGTGTTCAGGTAGTGATTACAGCTCTGAGCTCACCATGGAAGAAATACTCCTTATTAGATCTTCTAATGCTTTGTTTTCATACCTTTGCAGGCTGTAGAAGAACTTTTAGAATCCCTGGACCTTGAGAAGAGCAGTTATCACATGGGGCTTAGCAGGGTATGTATGTTTTTTTTTTAAGTTTTTGAATGTCTGTATCTTATTGTTGTTGTGCTCATCCCTCATTTAAACTGGGACTATTTGGAAATTGTTTTAATGTGTTCTGTAGGCATGCAAGATCAAATTGTTTTCTTAAGTAACTGTTATGTAGCAGCCAACCTGATTGAAGGTTGACATTTTGACAAACAAGGCCTGGTTTGCATTGACCACAACTGTCATGTTCAATAAAAAAAATATATGAATTCCACGGAAAACCAGCAAGATAAAGGTACGTGTGTGGTGGGGGTACTTTGTGTTGCTCTCCTTGCCTACACATACAGGCTTACTGAGTAAAGCGGTACCAGTAGAAGATGTAGACATGTAAAGTGAAACAACCTAAGGCAACTACTAAGATATTTTCTTTCTAAGATCGGAATAGAGGTCCCATCATTTTTGATTGGTTGATGTGGGTTGCCTCATTCTGCACATACGCTATGTCTGCTTTGACACAGAACATGTAAAGGCCCTTTTTATGTTGTGCATCTTTACAGTATTTGTATAGTAATAACAGTCCAGCGGTGTCATGTGACTTCTCTGCATTTTATATGACTGTTTATCATGTGCTTATGTTCGCATTCATATTCCTTATTGTCAGCAATAATGTGCCCACATTGTAATGCTCGCTGTTCACACAACTGGTAGATTTCTGTTTGAACTATTATTTATTCACTGCTGGTCTGAATTAAAAAGACAATCACAGTCCCTTTTTATAAAATGCCATTGATCATATCCTACTTGAATTAAGCCTTCCCATCAGCATAGTGACAGAAAGCCGCATCATGTTCAGTGGTTACGGCAGAATGCAGAAGACTTATCTGCCATTCACTGTCACACAATGCACTGCTTGGAGTTAGGATAATAAAGCACTGGGCACACTGTAGCTTGCATTATGTACTGACCAGGAGTTGCTTCCCACAGTCAGAATTCCTCATGCAAATGAGTTAGGGAATACAGGCATGGCACACAGAGAAAGTCAGGCCCTGCTGATTAACGCGTTCATCCTCTGGGGCTTCAAAGGAATGCTCTGGACTGTTAGATCCAGCGGTGGCATGCACCGTGTCCAGACAGCAAAGGGTGAAGCTGAGGAATCCAAGCTTGCTACTTCTCACTCTTCTAAAGGCGAGGTCACTCTTCTGCTTCTAGTGCGGCTTCATATTATAAACACAGTGTGTCTGTTTATCCTTTACAAATCTAAACCAGCACTTGTTTGGGATGCAGACAATGAAGCACATTCATCTTTTCGTTAAGTATACTAATCCCACCCCTTAAGTGCCTTTTTATATAAATATATCCTAATGTAGTCACTATAGAAAACCTTTGCTGGGTCTTTCTTGTGGCGTAACAGAAAGGAGGCAGGTGATGTCTCACCAGAGTTGAGAAAACAGATTAAAGTGTGTAAAGTAATGTGTGGACATGACCTATTTATACTTTACAGTCTCTCCTAGAGTTCAGGTTTGTCACTGATCTGTACTCAGCACTGACCCAAGGCATGCTCGGTATTAACCTCTTTACAAATATACTCTGACACTTGTCAGGATAAATACACACAGCAGTAAGATGTAAAGGTTGTTAATATAATGCAGACTCCTTTCCAGTAGTTGTTGGGGATTACTGCAGTAAGTAAAGGCTCTGCAGGACTTGACGCTTTGCAGGCATCTCCAGTCTTCATCTTACTTTTTCTTTCTCTTTGTCCTCACAGGTTTTCTTCCGAGCTGGCACCTTGACAAAGCTTGAGGAACAGAGGGATGAACAAACTCGCAGGAACCTTATATTATTCCAAGCTGCATGCAGAGGTTACCTGGCACGACAGCAGTTCAAAAAGAGAAAGGTACAGTGACAGTATTGCTTGAGCTGACTATTCCAAATTAGAGTCTGGGCATCTTTCCTAGTGACCTAAAATGGTAAACTGCTCGCCTTTTGTAAAAGATTAGAGCCTGATGTCAGATGAGGGGGTTTCCTTGTAAACGTCTGCATGTGCTGGGAGGGACACAGGTCTCTGTGTCAGACCTCAGCTGAGCTCTTTTTCAGCAGAGCGTTTATTAAGAGATGGTCACACTGCTGGGATCGAGCACTGTGATACGGTAAGAGCTACAACTGTCTTCTTATCACTCGTATGTAGATTGGGTTTCTTCAAGTGCTCTAAGACTTTTCAGTGTATGGCCTTACATTTCAGCTGGAAATACAGCGGCCAAAATGTCTCATGTGTCCACTTCTCAACAATGTAAAGAAGTACAACTTCACTACGTACACACAAAACTTTACTTCCTTTAGTTCTTCACTATTCTGAGACATAAAATAATGTCACTGCCTTGTCTAGAGCTTAAAAAGTAACGGTGAACCTAGAAAATAAGTTACCTTATGTCAAAAAGCTATTCTAGAAAATTCTATAAATGTAAGAAAACTTATTCCCATAAATAAAACAAAATGTTTGAAATGTGTTACTCTGCGGCCTATTGTTTTATACTATCTGCCATTTGACTCTAAATAAGATCAACCATTTTATTCCACAAGATGAGAAAAACTGAATTGCTGTATTCTCGTTTGTTACATTTAGATATGAAAATTATTTTTAAATGACATTTTACTTTTCTACATATTATGATAGATTTTTTTTTTCTGTGGATGGAACTGAATAAAGACCTTTAGACTCCTTGTGTGTACAGTGGGGGGGGGGGGGAAATTCATAAAAATTGGCGCAGACAAATTTTGGAGCAGTTGCCCATGTTAAACAATCAGTGGCTCTCATTCATTTTCAAATGCTTACCTGAACAAACTGAAGAGAGAAGCTGATTGGTTGCCAGAAGAAAACTCTCTGCTCCAGTTTTTATGAATTCCCCCAATGTCTTTTCTCAGGCAGCTGTAAGCTACAGTCTGAAAGATTGGCATTTAAAGTCTAGTTAAGGTTCAGGGTAAAATTGCATTATCCATTTATATTATTTTGCCCATAGAGACTCTTTGTGCATACTGATCACTCATGGCACAAGTCAAATTTGAAAAAGTGGCTATGGTCTAAGTAAAATCAATAAATAAGCATACCAAAAGGGGGAAACAAGTAGTATGGTCAGGAATATAAACAGTGCATGGCACGTATGTTAGTGAAAGAAAACATAATAAAGGTGACCTATTAAAAGTATTCCATGTAATGCATATTCAGCAAGTCATCTGAACTGAAAACTCTCTTCCCACAATACCAGATTCTTTTAAAATATCTTCAGTCCTCAGAATCTCCTGAAAACCATACATGCTTATCAGTACTAGTTATCAAACCTTCTTTACATAAACCAACCTGTTTGTTTCTGGTCCTTCAATTACTTGATGTGCTGTGCGTTAGTCTCCCTATTGGTTATCGGCAGTTTGGGTACTAGTCCTATAGGTCCCCGTGTCCCCCAGTTCATATGTCATTTAGGTAGTATGAGACAATATACCACATTTCCTGTAGTTAGTGTGGAGTGTGAGTATTTCTTGCCGTGTCCAAACATTGCTTGTGGATGTGCCATACAAGATTAACTCTCAACTCCAGACATGCACTGTTCAGTATCACCAAAGACCAGAGATGGGAACCCTGCTATAGGCAATATATAGGCATTGTCCATGATGGTGTGTGAACGTACACTTTGAAATGTACAATCTCCTCCCATTAACTTTTCACGTTCTTGTGGTATGCCAAACATTTTACTGTAGGGTTTGGTGAATACTCTTCACCAACTGTGCTCTGTACATCTTTGCCAATAGAGCACATGTGCAAACATGCTTCCAGGGAGCCCTAGAAAACATGCATCGACTTTGAGTATGCCTATTATGATAAAAATACGTGGGAGTCTGAAAATACTAGATTCCGTGCCGTTTTGCTGATTTACTAGTGTTACAGCCAAGCTGAACCTGTCAAGCTGCTAAAACATAAAATCCATATTTATTATTGTTTAAAGAATACTTTTTGCTGCAGCACACTAGATTCAGACCACTGCTCAAGGTGCAGTGGTCTGGGTCTCCAGTGGTTTCACATGTCCCCTGCCCAGTGCTCTAATCCATAGCATCGTTTAGACAGCGTGAGCACTGTTGTACACTGGGCAAGGGGGTATGTTGGACCACTGGAGACCCGAACCAATGCGCACTGTGTTGAGCAGATGTCTGCCTCTAACCCATGCTTTTGCAAATGGTAGTGTTGAAAAAGAAATAAATATATGTTTATGGTGCATACCTTACTAATAAAGGAAGGGTTTAACTGGGCCTTACACTATTCCCCTTTCCAGAAGAAGTACAGAAATAAAAAAGGCATACTTTTCCAAGTCAGCAACACATAATAAGCAACAGGGTCCAGCATGATAGCCAAGCAGCTGGTACTTTTAGGAGGAGATGGCAGCAGTAGCAGCCATCTGATGCGAAGACCTGTAGCCCACAACCTCAGAAAGCGTTACAAGTTTAGTCGGTAAGACAACTCAAAGAACAATTATGGCATTTAAACTGCAGTTACCCAAAGCATCCAAAGATTTTCTTCAATGTATCTGACTGCTAGCTGAAATCTTAAAGGAGAACTATGGGGTCAGTGTTTTTTCCCCATAGTTCTCCTTGGGGTAACTGGAGGACACAAACTAGCGTCCTCCCGTCACCCTAAGCTCAGTATACCGCGAGCTACAGCTCGCGGTATACTGAGACGCCGCACCTGGAGCGGATCCCGACTTAGATGACGGGATCCGCCCAGCTGCGTGAGTGACAGCTGGCTCTGCCTATCTAGAGGTAGAGCCAGCTGTACCCACCCCCTCCCCCGTCCGTTCCGCCAGTCAGCGCTGGCAGATCGGAGCGGGGAGAGGGGAATCCAGCCCCTCCCCCTGTCACGGCAGAGAGCCGTGACAGGATCGAGAGGTGAGGGAACCCGGTATGTTTTCCCTCACCTCCCGATCTACTGAGCCGACCTGTGACAGTCTCATTGTCACAGGTCGGCTTAGAACTATGACGTGAGTGGAAATCACTCATGTCATAGTTCTCCTTTAATGATTCTTGCAGGTTACCGCATTTGACATTTTATCATTGTTGAATGCTTGGTCTTCCTTGTCTTTTTAGTTCTGAGGTTAGATAATCCTAAATTCACAAATTTCTAGTTTATACCACCACCAGTTCCCAGAGTCTGGTTACTGTATGTTTCTTAGTCACACTTAATAGTTTTGTTTTTTTAATTAATTCATTCTGTGTTGGAGTCCTCAGTTTGGTGCTTATCATGCAGGTAAACTGAGAAAGAAATAACATCATGTTATTCACCCCTACAACATTACCAGGCATTTGATTCATACATATACATTCTTTATTGCAAGATCCTGCTATTAAAAATGACAGTAGTACAGATAATAGTGGAGTTTTTATACATGGATAAGAGGCCATCTTGTGTAAGAGAATCCCCTCTGCGCATGGAGCTCAACTACAGATGGTGGCTCCGCACTTAGAAAACGGTTTTCTGTTTCATTGTTTAGTACTCAATATGTTTCTCCATCTCATTAGATAGGAAGACTAGCGGTGATGTATTATTGCTAGAGAAAATTGGCAAACATCTTGACTATCCTTACAGAGGGGCACATGTACATAACTGCCTGCACTGCCATCCTTTCAGGATGCTCAAATTTTGTTTATGTTACAGTAGATGGGAATCTTTTTATAAAACCATAGAATTCAGCAACCGGTGTCAGTCGGACGTGCAGGCACGATCTTATCAACTAAAGATCTTTTGTGCATTAGTCCGAATGTGCATGTTTATGCCTGCGGGGAGGGAGGGGGAGCAGTCAGCAGGGAGGCAGGGAATGCAGTACAATCTACGCTGTTGGCAACCTGTAAATTACAGCTTGCTGGTAGGTCATCCTGGTAGATGGATTTCAGGAACTGCTGTAAATGATCACACAGCTATTCATCAGATCACAGTAATTTAGAGCTGCACATTGTGATATTTCTAAAGCGCACAAAAAGTGAAAGCTATTAAATAGTAAGAGAATATACAAGATGTATTTGCATTTAAGAAGTTCTCTCTGCTGTCATTTATATGGTGGCACTTGGCTTTTATAAAGGGAATCAAACAAGTCGCATCCTATTTATTGAGAGTGTAATGATCATTACTGTATTGTGACCAGACAAGTTTATAACCTTTTCATTCATTAAAATGGCTGCTAATTGATTGCTACAAGTCAGTGGTTCTTTTGGGATTTTTTTGTGTACGATAAGCATGTTAAGTTTAGTCTCCTATAGTGCACAGAGAAAATACATGGTCTGTCATTGCTAGGCAATAGTAAATGCTACATGCCTGACTATCTGTTTCATAACCTCTCTGTCATAGACCTGGACAAGCATTTAGCAAATGGAAGTCTGAATAAAAGTCAGTTTTGTATGGATGTTTCTCCTGCACTCCTTACAGCGTTTGGAACCAGTAGTCAATGTAGTGCTCGCAGTCATGAACACGGATGGCGCCGTGTAACTTCAAGTTAGGAAAGTGGAAAATCACCAGCGCTCAGAAACTGTCTTTTTAGATCTTCGTGATCATTTATTGATGTCACATGTATCAGAAAAACCAATGTTTCAGGGCCATGCAGGGTCCCTTCATGAGGGCCACATAGTGAATAAAAGTCAGAACTCCTTATTTCTATACCTATTCCAGATTAGGGGCTTAAAGCATACCCAAAAACAAAAAAAATATATATTGCCGATCCTTCAGTGTGGTGGCTGCATTAGTTCTCTTTTTTTAGGATTTTATTTTTTGCCTTTATTGTCTCCTGGTGATCCCACTAGTAACACGTTTCCTGTCCTAGGGTGACAGCGCTCACTGTACTGTATCTGTGAATAAGCAGCTTTGTCACCCTAGGCGGCTCACTTGATTTGAACTGCAAACTCCTCCTGTTCTCATCATCTGCATCACATAGGGAGGGGGTGTTTTGTAATTCATAGAAGATAGTTGGCGAAGTTGATTGACATAGTTTGAGATCTTGGTTCAGCTCACAGAAAGTCACAGGGACACCTGGAATCTGGTAGGATCAACGGGTATTTTCTGTACTGAAAATGTACTTTGCCTGAAAAGGGAAAGTAATGCAGCTACCACATCTAAGGACTGGTAAGCTGCAATATATTACTTTTTTGTTCTTGGGTTTAGATATATTTTAAAGTACTGAAGCCAATGCATCTGCATGGTAGCCAGGTAACTAGTATTTTCAGAAGGAGCTGACAGACGTGACAGCCCCGTTATTTATTTCATGCCTGTTTAAAGGAAACCTGTGCTAAGAGAAGCGTATAGGCTGCCATTGCTGACCTCTGAAAAAACTACTTGCCTGGCTGTCTCTGGCTTCTGCACTTTCTCTGGCTACTGTACTGACATGCAACATGCATATCAAGCACAACTGTCAGTGTGCCACCAGAGCTCTAAATCTATAAACTTGATCTAGGACAATGAAAAGTTTTAAACCCACTGGAACAGCATGACGGCTATAGACGGGGAGGTCAGCAATGGCTGCCTCTGTACTGCCGCTGCCTCTGTACTCCCTCAATTCAAGTTTACTTTAATTACCACAGAGGAAATTCCCACAAAGAAGTGTGCTATGCTTAAAAGGGAGTGTATGCTTCAGGGCCTGTTCACATCACTTCTAGTATGTTCCAGCAGCTAACCGTGCTGGAACACACTGGATTACATACTGTGAAGGCTCCCGGCATTCTGGAGCTGGAGGGGGCGTGACGTGCATTCAAGTCAGCGGCACCACAGCCATATTGACTTGAATGCAACGGAACTCCCCCTCCCGCCCCAGAACACAGGGGGGCGGGGGGTTAGTGAGCGATCCAGCAGCTAACCATGCTGGAATGCACTGTAATTGATATGAACAAGCCCTCAATAATTATGGTATAAAAAAAGAGTAATCACAAGTTTCTTATCAATCAGATATAAAAAAAATGCTTCCAATGGTATATTTAGCAGACCAAAAAGAAGTTGTTAGGGTTTATATACACTTTAAACTGCCATGGGAGAAATATGGAGCCAATCCTTGCTCTTCTGATAATCCTAATTGCCTGACACTGAAGAAGCATATAGCAAATAAAAGTCAGAGAAAAGTCAGAATTCCTTCTTAACCAGATCAGTGACAGTCAGACAACTACCTTTTTTTTTTTTTTAGAAATTAGCATTGGCAGGCTATGTATTTTCCTTATGGTAGGCTCCCTTTAAAGGGTTCCTGTTCTCATGATATGTTTCTGATATAAAACACTTTCATGCATCTCAATTTAGTCTGATAGTATTGTTTCTCCAACTGATTGTAAAGACTTTATAGTTAATCTCCAAGTTTTACAGTACGCTTTTGCAACAGATCATATGTCTACCTCCCTATAGCTCCTTGTTTTCATATTTTCAACCATCATTCATTATTTAAATTCCTCTGGACTTCTGGCACCTGCCATAATAATGCCTTGTTCCTTGCTAGTTGTTATGGTGTTTAATCAGTCCACTTCCATCTTGCTTTTCTCTTTCTCCCATACAAGGCGTGCTGGCTACACTTTATCTGAGTGATGTCCTTGGCATTATTCCTGCCTGCGGAAAGTAGCTTGTTTTCTTTTATTCCCAAGCTACGTCGCCTACACATTACCTCTTTTGTAATTGATTTATTATGATGTCTCTAGCTGGTTTGCTAGGATTCTGTGCTATCTTAGCACTGATCGCTGTTTTTTTTTCCCCTGTAGATCCAACGGCTTGCGATACGTTGCATCCAGAAGAACATCAACAAGAACAAGGGAGTGAAGGACTGGCCTTGGTGGAAGCTTTTCACCACTGTCCGGCCTCTTATACAGGTGCAGCTGACGGAGGACCAAATCCGAGGCAAAGACGTACGTACGATGGCTGTCACACCCAGCTATGCCAGTGTTCAATGTTCATTTGTAGAGAAAATTTGCTTGTTGATATTATGCATGGGCTATGTAATTATCCATCAGGGCGTGTTAGTTCTAACAGCAGACTGTCCGTGGATCATGCTTGCTGCTATATACGTCTCTATACACAGCCAAGATGAGCATAAAGGTAAAAGGGTTAATTCATTATTAGTGAGTTTCCCAGGAGACGATGATGTAACTGGTATAAACATTTCTTTACGCAGCCAAGGTGATGAATATAAAGATGTTTCATTTTTTGCTAGTACGTTTTCCAGGAGACGATGCTACTGTTACCTATTCTAGATTTTCAGACTATCAGGGATATAAATTTTTTTTTTCCGCGCTGCTTTATTGAATGAGACCCATGTCCCATATTGTTAATTATCACACCAAAAATCTGCTTTTGTCTATTTACATTTAGTCATAGAGGATTATAACCTACAAATTCACAAATATCTGCTGTAAAGGTGGTGTCATTAATTAGTCCCCATAATGGAGAGTTGTATTCATTGTGAGGATTTAAATGACTTTTTATGGCAATCGTAATCTGTATCTGTGACTGAAGTATATAAACTCTGTAGATGAATTGGTTTGGCTGGAAATTTATAGCGCATTACTCATTGTTTACCATTATGATTATATCCCATGGTATATCCTAATTAAAACTTATAGGATGCTGATGCAGTTAATTGATGGTCCTATTGGGAATATACAGGGTTATTTAGTGGTTGGATATTTTACATAAAACCTTTAACATGTATCTCTAGCCATAACTTTTTTTCTGGATAGAGTGGGGAAGGTTTAGAAACATGTTTTCTTTGCTGCCGCTTTCCCCACTTTTTTTTTTTTTAGTCCTGGTGACCATTGTCAATGGGACAGAGAATAAAGGGACTTCCAAAACTTTACACTTGTCACTGGAACAAGAGGTGAGGGTAAATCTTCCAGTAGAAACTCTTGTTCGGGTGACAACGGTCTAAGAGTGGAATCCAACTATTTTAATAGAGATTTACACTCAGTTCCTGTTGCACATTCAGGACAATAAGTAAAAGAAAATCTCCCCAATGGAGCAGACAGCAAAAATGCATTGGCATGGTAATAATCATTATTATTAGTATTCTCATTACTATCCAAAACATTACAAAAAAAATTTAAACGTTTTGTATAGGGTTTTGGGGTGTAGAACCCCTGTCAGATGTATATGGTTTTCTTTGCCACTGCAGTGGAAAGTCTTTGTCCTGCTGACCATTGTCACCAATTCTGAAGGTCAGGGAAAATCCAAAATTTTAAGTTTTCATCTGAACAAGAATAGGGGGAAATTGTCCAATGGGGACACCTGTTCTAGTGTCAACTGTGTGAGGTGAGGAACCTTCCTCACTTTGGAAAGGGTTCCTCTCTCTTCCTGTTGTGACAGGACAGAAAGTAATGGGGAATCTCTATTGGGACACAGATGGCAAACAAAACCTAAAAGTGTCAACCCATTTTTTTTTTAAAAGTATTGGCTATTGAGTTTAGATATACCTTAACCTCAGGCTAATGGCCAGCTTATATCATGACCTGTAATACAGAATCCTATGACTCTTTTAATCCAGGAGTCAGGAGGCTGACTTCATCTCTTCAATCATTATGCCATTTATTGTATTAATATTCTTACCACTTCAAAGCACCATAATTCTCTGGCTTTTAGGCTTCATCAAATCCTTTAACTGAGCATATTAAACCATTTAATTGAGCACTTAAGATTTTTATAAAGTGTAGCGCCCTCTAAAATGTCGCTATTCAATTTAGAGATACCTGGAAATCTTCTTGTGTTGATATGCAGTGTGTTAACCACGCTGCTCCATTTTACTTACTAAAATCCTTGATCTGTTCTTGGCATTTAGGATGGGCAAAACTTGCAAGCACATCTCACTTGAACTTCTCAGTTAATGTCAACATAAGCCTAAAGTTCTCACCTTTTGGTTTTATGCCAGAATTGCCAAATAAAGATAGGCAGAGCTTGTTTACAGTTATTTAAGGTTGGAGTGTAGAAGTGGAACATATGCAATCGTAGTTCTTGATGGGAATGCTGGATCGAAAATAATATTTATTTATTGAAAGAATGGAAAGTAGCACAGTGCACCAGGATGGCATCAGGCTGAAAGTGCATTGTGTGCTCGGTGCATCCCTGTTTTAAAGACAAAATACCATATGACACTCTATCTAAATTCAGCAGAGAGGTAACACTTCTCTAAAAGGACTGCTAATGGAAAAGTCACAAGCTTGGCATGCATGGCACAAGACCATCCTGATTAATCACTCTGTCTGACAGAGGCTAGAGACTTTGCTCTGTGAATTCTGTTAATCTTAGTGACTCAATCAGTTCCTTGTAAGAACTCGTAAGTTATAAGCATAGTACCTGATGACTTCTTAATCGTGCAGTGTATATATAGAATAGGTCATGCCCTGCAGTCTGGGTGATTTGGACAAATACATTTTTATAGATAACATTTTTAAAGGATTAAAATGATAATGTGCCTTTCTGAAACTAGTTTCAGTTGGGAGCTGACTTCCCTGTATTTAGGGCTAAGCCCTGCCAGCTCACAATCTATCCTAAAATTAAAAAAAACAAAATGAATCACAAAATATTTGCAAGCTAGTTTACATATAAGAAAAAATCGTACATCGCAATCTTGTATATGTCAATGATTTTGCAATAGGAAAACGTACATGGCATGGTGCAGAAGCAGCAACATCTTGACTTTTCCAACTTCATGCTAAAGCGATAGCCAAAATGTCCCTATATTATGGAGACACATATAGTGTACAAACGATATGGACCAAGATTAATGATCTTTGTCGTAAATGCAAGGTTTTAGGGTAGAACCTGACCCCCTTCTTAAGGAGAACCTCAATCCCTGCCAGCTGCCATTTCCCTGTCCAATAGGGCGCGTATTGGCCAGTGAAGGTCTCTTATTGAACAGGGGTGTGGCAGTTAGTTAGTCTAAAGCTGGCCATACACCTAAGGCTAGGCACACACCTTACAACCATCGCAAGACTTTTGTCTTGCGATGGTTGTAAGGTACTTAAAAAAACGTACGATCTGCCTATGTTGCATAGGCAGATCGTACTTGCGATGATCGCAAGCCACGCCCCCTGAGGGGCGGGCTTCCGATGACCGCAATGCCGAACAGGCAGTGTGCGCTTGCGCACACCGGCCCGTGCGGCTGTTATCGTACGGACATGCCACAAACCCGCCGAACATCGTACGATGCTCGGCGGGTTTTCGAACATGTCCGTAAGTTTAAAGTCGTGCGACCTTACAGTAGTAGAGGTCGCACGGCTTCCACACACCTTAAGATAATCGTACGATCGCGGGATTTCCCGCGATTATCGTACAACCATCCTGATTAATCACTCTGTCTGACAGAGGCTAGAGACTTTGCTCTGTGAATTCTGTTAATCTTAGTGACTCAATCAGTTCCTTGTAAGAACTCGTAAGTTATAAGCATAGTACCTGATGACTTCTTAATCGTGCAGTGTATATATAGAATAGGTCATGCCCTGCAGTCTGGGTGATTTGGACAAATACATTTTTATAGATAACATTTTTAAAGGATTAAAATGATAATGTGCCTTTCTGAAACTAGTTTCAGTTGGGAGCTGACTTCCCTGTATTTAGGGCTAAGCCCTGCCAGCTCACAATCTATCCTAAAATTAAAAAAAACAAAATGAATCACAAAATATTTGCAAGCTAGTTTACATATAAGAAAAAATCGTACATCGCAATCTTGTATATGTCAATGATTTTGCAATAGGAAAACGTACATGGCATGGTGCAGAAGCAGCAACATCTTGACTTTTCCAACTTCATGCTAAAGCGATAGCCAAAATGTCCCTATATTATGGAGACACATATAGTGTACAAACGATATGGACCAAGATTAATGATCTTTGTCGTAAATGCAAGGTTTTAGGGTAGAACCTGACCCCCTTCTTAAGGAGAACCTCAATCCCTGCCAGCTGCCATTTCCCTGTCCAATAGGGCGCGTATTGGCCAGTGAAGGTCTCTTATTGAACAGGGGTGTGGCAGTTAGTTAGTCTAAAGCTGGCCATACACCTAAGGCTAGGCACACACCTTACAACCATCGCAAGACTTTTGTCTTGCGATGGTTGTAAGGTACTTAAAAAAACGTACGATCTGCCTATGTTGCATAGGCAGATCGTACTTGCGATGATCGCAAGCCACGCCCCCTGAGGGGCGGGCTTCCGATGACCGCAATGCCGAACAGGCAGTGTGCGCTTGCGCACACCAGCCCGTACGGCTGTTATCGTACGGACATGCCACAAACCCGCCGAACATCGTACGATGCTCGGCGGATTTTCGAACATGTCCGTAAGTTTAAAGTCGTGCGACCTTACAGTAGTAGAGGTCGCACGGCTTCCACACACCTTAAGATAATCGTACGATCGCGGGATTTCCCGCGATTATCGTACCATAATCGTAAGGTGTGTGGGGACCCTTACAATTTATCTGCAGATTTTCTGTGGAAAGGTGGAAAAGGTTCAACAGATTCCTCCATCTACACTTAACTGTGTGGATGGAGTAATCTCCACCTGGGCCAATTTGTTGCACTTTTTCCATCTGACCACAGCAAATCTGCAGATAATTGTAAGGTGTATGGGCACCTTTAGCAATGGCATTTGGGAAGTCAAGAGCCAAGGAAGAACTTATAAGTAAGTACAAAGTACAAAATTGCTGGCTATTACAGGTTACAGGAGGCATCTTCTGAACTTTACCTGGCATGTTCTTTTAAAATGCATAGATTCACTTTAAATGTACATTTTAACTGTCTATTATTGAGCTATTATATCTATTTTGAAAGGTGATCATTGGCTTTTTTCACTCAGAAACACTTTACTTTTGTGCAGAGCATTTTGCTTGTTTACAGAACCTTTGTGGATCTTCAATCCATGTTCTA